AAAGAATGAACTTAAACTTCCACAAACTGCTGTTGCAGTGTTACTGATAATGGACTGTTGAGGACACGGCATCGCGTCAGAGTTTCTCTTCCATCCTGTTCATGTTTTAAGCTAAATGCAATGAAAGAAGATTTGGAAATTAAAATCTCAGCAAAGGAGTGAAAGTCAGTGTGTGCTGAAGTCTCAGACGGTCAATACACAACTCAGATTCATAAACCATAACTGTGAGCGTGCTCAACCTGCCGAGTCAAATGGTTATGATAAAGATATAAAGCAGCACTATGATGAAACATACTGAGCATTGATTAACTGTTTGATTTGTGAGAAGGTTTCTATCAGTCACATTTTGAAACTGACTGTTCTGACTCATCATGCAGGTCTCACTGAAAACAGAAATACCAACTCGTTTCAGAGCATTTAGGACACGGGGGCTCTGCAGACCTGCAGGACTGTCAGCCCATGCACCGCTGTGGTCTTTTATACCCCCCCTCCCACATGCCTTTAAGTGTGGAGATGATCAATAAGTCACCAGAGTTTCAGTTTCTATTGCTTTGCTTGAGTTTGTCGTAAGCGGGCACATCAACAGACAGTGCTGCTCAGCTCTGATGCTAAAAGCTGAGGAGTACGAGCTGATTTTTATTGAAGCTGAACACGACGGATCGAAACGGCGGCCTGCGCGGACACTTCCTCCCGCGGCGCGAGCACTGATGGCGGGGACGGTGGCCTTGGAGGAGCGATAAGAGCCCACGCAGCGTCGAGGAGAGTGTTTAAAGTGCAAAGTTGATTAAAAGTATTTCCTCTGTGGTGGGTAATTCTCTTTGCCCTGATCAATAAGTGGCTCCTCTCCAGTGCGCGACTCTGTGTCAGGTACCTCAGGTTCTCCCTCTCTCTCTGAAGAGGGAGCTCACACATCCTCCTTCCCATTCTCTCCTCCTTTTCTTTCTCTAAATATCCTCTTTTAATGTTTCTCTTCACAAGTCTGTGATTTTGTGATACAAGCGCGCCTCTCTCCCTCTCCTTCTCTTGCTTTCAGCTCTAATGTATTTTTTGTGCGGCGGGTTATTAGCGTGAGAGCGGCGAGGCTTTCGTCTGTTTAATCAGCTTGTTGAGCATGCAGGTTTGATGTGTGTTGTCTCTGTGTTTAATCAGCGAGCTGCTCGCTGCAGGTTTGATGTGGACGGAGAGTTAATAAAGCAGTATCTTTGGCGCCTTCATCAGCTGCAGCACTTTGTTCTGCCTCTCCTCGCGCCTCCGAGACAGACAGCTGCAGTCTCCGTGAGGGAGCTTAAGTAGTCCTGTAGCGCCGCGTCAGTGCCGGTCCCATCTCGATGGGCGATTGGATCGCTCCTCTGTCAAATTGGGGTTGTTACTGTAATTCGGGACCTTTGCAGTGCCGTCCCAATATGAAGCTTGGTTCATCTTTTGAAATATGTCCAAACAAAAAATTTCTCACAGTAGAAAAGCAGAAGTTTGTGGTTGAAAGCAACCTGAACGATTTCTCTTTATAGAGTGCTGTTAATCATTTATTGCATAAATACCTGTGAGTGCTGAGTGAAATGTGACCATAGCATCTAGCAAAACTATTTATCAGCTTGCTCAGTTATCATGTGATCAGATAGTCCCTAATCTAATCTCTGACTTTTCTTTTTTACTTTTTGTTAAGACTCAGACACCAAGGCATCGAGAGGTTTGTCATAGTCTGCTGATAGTTTCTTTTTTGTGGAAAAGATACATATTCCTAGAAATAATTAGCTAACTTCTATGGTTCTGTTCATACAGTACGCTGTAAATAAGTCCCAGTTTTTTGTCTCTTACCTGCACAAATCATAGTTTGACTGCTGATTATTGATAGATTTGTCGATACAAAGTTTGATGATATCCTTTGGAATTCAAATACTGATAATGTATTAATAGTAAAGTTTTATTATTATTTCCAGTATTTCTGTGATAATATTGTTACCTGGTATGTGTTTGACCATGACAATCATTAACAATCTGATATCATGCCAGCTGCAGTCACTCAGTTTCAGCAGTCTCTGTTCAGAAATTTGCTGAAAGTTGGGACTCCTTGTGTTGATGCTATGATTCATTCATTTCAAAAAGTGCAGTGAAAACGCACCAGACAACTTGGTGGAACTGAACGGGCCAATCACAGTACTTTTATGCTGCAACCATCCCACATTTCTAGTGACGTGCATGTCAGTTTACGCCATAGATCACGGTGTAGGGTTTACAAAGGTTTTGCAGGTGTAATGTAGCGAGGCATAGAGGGAGATTAGGTTGAGCTGGCTGGCTCTTCAGTGGTTTCTTATGAACGCCTCTGACCTCGGTTGCACTCGTGGTTTCATTCATTTCTGCCTGCTCCGTACACAACTGCTACAAGTTTTAGAAACAAGGGTATTCATCAGTCTTTGCCAAGTGTTGAACCAAAACTCATAACACTGATCATTTAATCCAGAGCTGTTGGGGTTTGTCAGGGGAGGCTGGTGTACGAGGAACAACTTCCAGTCAGACACACACTGAGGAATTCATCAAAAAGCACTTTCAACATTTCGGGGAAAGTTTCGAGTTTTACTGGCCGGAGAGCCTCAAGTTTAAAAATGTGAACAAATGCAAGCTTCAGGGGTTTTTTTTTTCTTTTTTTTTGGTCCTTCTTTAGCTCACAGCCCAGAAAAATGATGTGGCGCTGCTGGATAAGTCTCAGCTTAATTGATGTCTCTCCTACAGAGATACACATTTGGGTTATGTCTTTTTATTATTTCTTCATCTCGTGAATGAGTTCAGTCCAATTTTCTTGGATATCACGCCGTAACAATTAAAGGCTTTAACTTTAAAACTGGCAAATGAAGTAGAATGTGGTGCACTTATCACAAGACGCCCCGCTATCCTTTCTGCCAACTATCCGAGACAGGAAGAGAAGGGGACAGGGCGAATATTTCTCCTTGGATAAAAGCGGGGAGAAAGTGGAGCTGAAACTTTTTCCGCACCATTTGATGTCTGAAAGCAGTGATGCAGCGATTGATTCATTAAACCAGAGCCGTAATGAGGAAAGAAATCATAATTCAAACTTACATTTTAAACAGGAAATATAATTGGAATTTTATACAGAGGAGTCCCTTTGTACAATTATGATTAAAGGAAAATTAATTGTATGAAAATGTCCTTATAGATACTGAAAATTAGATCTAGCAAAGCTCCAGCGACACGGACCTAATTCTAAAAATATTGTGTACAGGATCGATCGCTTTTTTTCCCCTTGTCTTTCTCCTCTTTTTTTTAAAAACATTTTTTATGAAGGTCCAAATCTAGCTGTGTTAATTTTATCTGAAATTAGAGTGAACCATGCAGGCGTGGAAGTTGAAATTAGCCTAAAGATGTTTCATTTACAAAGACAGAAACACTTTGTCAGCCGGCGATTGTTTCCCAGCATTATCTCTGCCTGCTTTTAATTGCTTTGGTGAGTGAAATTAACAGAATTAGAAAAATTGCCTCTCCCTTTTTCTACAAGCTTCTTTATTCACGGGTATTGTTGTGTGCTTTGTATAGATTATAGACTCCTTTTGTTACAGTATTGTAAATATATACGCCCCCAGTCACGGCTTTAGCTCCGAAACAATCCCTCTTGCTCGTTCGACACAACCTAATGAAAATTAATTTACAACCTGTCTGGATTGAGGGAGAAATGAAAGCGGGGGGAAAAAAATCCTGGATTTTTTTCTCTTGGTATTAATGTCAGGCTGATTTAGTTATTCAGAACCAATGTGCCCACCCTCCTTGACTTTCCAGGACATCGTCGTTATGCACGCGAGCTGTTTTCTCCCCTGGCGTTCGGCGGCATCTTAACCATTTCTGCCTCACTCTGCCGCTCGTAATCCTCTTAAAAGAAACGCTCACCCCCAGTTAATAATTCTGTCGTGGCTACCTCTCGGGGACTGAGAATGAAGCGTGTCATCGGATGCAGACGAGCATTTCTGACACTCACGGTTGAATGTGAGCATATTTCGGGGTTTGGAGCTCTTAACGTGCCGTTCAATCGTTCATCTTATAGTCAGAATATTATTAATGAAGCAATTTTAAAAAAAAGTCACATTAAATCCATATTAACTCACTTCATTTTTGGATGTAATCTTCAAACGGGCTAAAATAGATCAAAAGTACTGTATAATTACTGTGGTCAGCAGGGATTATGAAACTGTAATTGATACAGATCAGCCCTGCACTAATCACTCTTTTAGCTGCAATTTTAGGTATACTGTAATTTGGCTTTAAGGTCCCCCTTGGCTTCTTGGCTATTAATCTTCTGGATTAGACCGTTCAGCGTGTCCAATTCTTGAAACCGTTTTTCAATGAGTCCAGTAAGTGGGGCTGGGGGGGCATATCTCTGTGTTTAGGGTATTTTCTTCCTTCCTGTCTACATACATCCATACAACCGTACGGAGCCTGTTAAACCTCATTTTAATTTCCACTTCTCCTGCCACTCTCGAGGCCCTCGGGAAGGCGATGAAAGCCTCGGGGTGGTGTTATTGTGTGACTGCAGACACTCTCCTGAGTGGTGTATTTTACAGACACACTTCAGGGCTTCTGTCACGCTTTGGCCAGCGAGGTAGGGGGTCACAGATCCAGTCTGAAGGAGTTCCACTGAAAAATCGACCCATTTTGTTCTGCAGAGTAAGAAAAGCGTTCCTGGAAATAATTTTTGTCTATTCTGCTCATGTCCAGTACCATATTTTTTACTTTTAGACCATATTTTGTACTGAGTAACTCGTCTGTCTGATACTCGTTGCTTTAGCTCCTCCCACTTTAATGTGGCACTGTTTCAGTCTTTTAATTGGCTGCAGAGCTCAGCGCCAGTTAATTAGTTTCTATTACTTTTATTCATCTTATTTGAGTCCAACCAGCATATTTAAGCAGATGTTGTAGATTAGACTCACATTAGACTGCTACCCTTACACTCTATGGACACATTCAGTTGTTGATTAGCCCTCTCCTCTTCCCCACAGGTTCTCTTGGGGATCTCGATGGCGGCGAGGAAAACACACCGGACAACCTGAGCCTATCAGGAGAGGAGGGCGGAGCCTCCGACCCGGACGATTCTGCAGAAGGCGACAGCTCCAGTCCGCCTCCGTACACACCATTGTACAACGAAGGTGAGAAGAAGAGCGAAACATTGAGCTCTAACAGAGGATAGTAGTACCGACATTGGTTTGTAATAAAAAAGAAGGTCAGTCTCAGACTTCCTGAGAGAACGACTGTGTTCTCTGTATGTATAATATACAGTCATGAAGACGGGCTGCATACACTTGTATTTAGTGTGGTAACCATGCACTTTTCAGTTGGTTTTCCCTTTTTGGCAAGGTCTAATTTCCAGTTTCCTTCATTTAAAATGTGAAAAAGAAAAACGAGCAGCAGCAATTAGTCTGAAACGTTTGATTTTTAAGTGATCTCTCTTTAAAACCAGCAGATGTTCATGCCCAGTGAAACAAAGAGCTCGGGACAAGTGACAAACTAGCATCGCTGCAAATGCAGTTAAGCCATTAGGACAGCTAATGTGTTACAAAAGTCTGTTTCGTGACAGGTAACCTACAAATGTACATGAATTATATTTGGAGAGCCATGCAGAGCTGCAGGCTGTGGTTCACGTGGACTTGTTTTACGTGCATAAAGATGGCGTTTGAAGACATTCGTTCTCAGCACTGACTCACACGCATCTGTTGTTTCTGCAGGTTGTTCACATGATGGAGTAATTATATCTTTTTTCAGTATAACATTAAAAAAAGCTGCTGAATCCCAATTTTCATTTGATACATTGTATTAAAGAGATATTAAAAACTTAAGATCTACTTTCTATATTTTGATTCTAACCACATGTCTGTACCATAAATATGTGTCTAGCTTTAAAAATGTTCCCTTAGTTAGCCAAAGACCTTCATGCATTAACACAGGGGTGTCAAACATGAGGCCCTGGGGTCAGCATCGGCCTGGCAAAGACTCCAATAGGTAGTACTGTTACAAAAAATCCTGCCCTGGACATGACTGCAAAACGTAGAAGTGTATTATTCAAGAGATTTGTCTGTCGTACACACACAGGGTTTTTCCACAGATGGTACAAAGATAATCTGCTGTAGAACTTTCTGCCAGCAGATCAGCTCTGCACACAAAACACGTCATCGGCCTTAGCAAAGGCTGTAAAAAAATCTGTGTTCTCACTCATTTTTAAAATATTTATATCACATTTTCCGCAATATCAGTGGCACACTTACAACATCCGTCAACAGTGAGCACCTCTTGAAGTAAAATAATCCAGATATGCAGTTTACTGGCAGTTATTAGTGGTTATTAGCAGATTAATCTCTTCATCAAGCCGTTCTTTAATCGACTGACGTCTACCTGTTATCTGTCTGCAGACGTCACCCAGAGACAATGCAAAAACTCTGCGGCACCATTTGGAGGTTGCAGCTTTCCACACACGTGTCACTCTTTTATCTCTAATATGGATAACAGATAAAAAAAAAGAAGAAGAAGAATTCTGTTGGCTTCAGTGAGTCCGCCCCTGTCGTGCACCTCTTATCCCGAGCCTACCCCCCACCCCCGCCGTGTGATAGCAGAGTTTTTCAGTCATATTCTTTTGACTTATTCGAGATTTCACCAGCTGTGTTTTTTTAATCTCAAAAATTCCTGCTCTTGTGAAATTTTGGGGGCTGCGAGTGATAAGCGTCTGCTGGTTGGCTCGGTTTGATAAACCCATGGAAATTCTGTCAGGTGCTAATCGAGACGAGATTAGAGATTAGCTCCAAGACTGTGTGTGTGTGTGTGTTTGAGTTGAGGGGTGGGTTATGTGTGTAATAGATTGTATAAGACGAAGATGAGGGAAGTCAGGCATACTGCACATGTGAGGAAGTTTGTCTGTCCATGGCAACCTTGCTTTGTGTACTTGTTTCTCAGTTTTTTTGTGTGTTTTTTAACCCCTGCTTGCACACACACACACACCTTCCCTCTCCATCACACTGTTGATTTACTCCTCTCTCTCTTCTCTGGGGTTCCTCAGTTGCCCAGCGCTGCCATTATCAGTTCTCTGTAAATCAGCCATGTTTGACGAACCTGCTCTTTCAACCTGGGATCAATACCAGGTCGTTATCTGGCCAGCGCTGGCTAATAAAGGCAGGGCCTCTTATCCACCATCTGGAAGAGAGAGCGAGAGAGACACACACACACAGACACACACACACTGGCGATAACCGCCCTGATAACTTTAGCAAGAAAAACACATTCTAGCAGTAACAGGACCGAGCACTCTGTTCTCTCCATAACACCCCGTCTTTTCAACCTGACAGCCAGAGCCAGTAATATTAATGCTGATACAAAGAAGTGCTGCACACAGACACTGTTTGGTACATTTCTCTCTGTTGTGGTGATATTTTTTTTCCCTTTCCCTCCTCTCTCTTCTCAGAATTGCTCTACAGTTGCAGCGACCCACAGAAACGAGCAAAGTTCCTTTTTTCATAACAAGGCAATCATTTTTATACATCACAGGAAGCCCGATAACATCCACTTCTGGGCTGATAAGGAAGTAATGTTACCTCCTTTTGACCTCTAATTGTCATGCCCTCATTTGAGCCAATCAGAAGGATTTTTGTAAACTGTTTTTTTCTTCTCTTCTTTTCATCAGAATCTGATTAGCGGTGATAGAGAAAAGTGTGTGTGATGCATAAACGGACGTAACTGAGGCGGCGCTCTCCGCTGGTTTCATTTCAAGGAACGACAAAAACTAACTTTCAAAGGATTAAAAATATTTTAACATAAAGATAAAGTTGATTGATGCATGTCAAACAGACAGAAAGGAAACAAGCATGTAATTGTCACTTTTTGTGTTTTCACATACTTCCTCCTTTCCTTTCTTGTTTTATTTTGAAGGGAAGTTCTGCACTTCCTGCTGTTGTCTTTTTTCTCCTTCTTTCCTGATCGTCTCACCTGTTTTGTTTATTGTTTTTTTCGTTACGCTTGTATTTCCACTTCCGTTTGAAGCAGCTTTGGGAGTTTTTCTGGATTACTGAGTTTTTAGCAGTGTTTCTGTTTTGACACACAAATCTTTACATCATGAGGATGTGCTGCTTCCCAGCTTCACCTCGCTGTGGATGGATGGACGTGGATGACTACAGTGTTTACGTTTAGTTGAAAAGACATGAGAGGACCGCTGATAGCACTTAGCTTTTAACACACTGCTTCATGCATTGTGCTTCCACTCCAGGACTTTTATCTATTTATTTTTAATGTATCATAAACATTTGAATTGATTTAAAATGTTCTGAGGGACAAATTTAGTCTAGATTACTTCTGATTGGATCACGTCCAAACTCCTCCCACCTTTCTACACAACTTGTCTCTCCAGAATATTTTCATCTTTCATCATATTTTCATTCACATTGGTTTTTATTTAGTTATTGTCTTGTTTTTGTTGAGGGGGGAAAAAGTCGCTGACAAAAATGATGACAAATAGTTTTGATCAAAGATATTAACACTGTTTAGAAGGATTGAGAAAATTAAATCTAAGCTCGAGGAACAACAACACACTTTCAAGAGTAGCCCACGTTACCATCTGCGGTGCATGTCTTTGACACTGCCCCCTGGTGTGGACCGTTTTTTAGGTATCCCCTGCTGCAACCTTAATGCTGTCTGTAGGAGATTAGCTTCAGCTTGAAGCATGTGTAAATAAGTTGCTCTTTATGTGGGAACTTCGTATTTTTGTCTCTGTACGTGCATTATCGATCGTCTTCGGAGGAGTGCTGGCGTGCAGCAGCTCTGTGGATCCAGTGTGTTCAGTGACGGACGGCTGCAGCTGCTGCTTTCTCAGGACACTTTCATTCCTTCCACCAACACGGAGACTGTCTGAGTGCATTAGTTGGACCTTAAACACGAGGGGAGGATGTGTCAATAAACAGGCGACACCATTATAATTATGGCTGTTGTAACTATCAGGCAGAAGCGAGACAGAAGACTGTAGAAGTTAGGAGGCGAGGCATTGTTGGGTGACTTTGCCCTGCAGGTGTGACAGAGGAAGTTCAGCTTATCAGATTGATGGAGACTGTCTCGCTGTTGGGGGGGAGAGAGGTGGGAGGGGAGGTAGGGGGGGTGAGGGGAAGAGAGAGGGGGGGGGGGGGGGGTTGGCAGAAAAGTGTCTGTCGACTCCTCCTGATACCTGCCTCCCTGTCTGAGATGATATGGGAGATAATATTGATAATATTAAACGCAATAACTGTGTCTCCAGCTCCCCTCCCTCGCTTCAGCCCCTGCAGGATAAAATCAATATGCCATTCAATGTGATTTATAGCTGAAAATAATGGCACTGTTTAGGCGGGGGTGTGAGTGGGGGAGGGGGACGCGGCGTGTGTGTGTGTGTGTGTGTGTGTGTGTACAGTATGTCTTGGCTGAGTGTTTGCGTGTGGATATGGTTGAAAGGTGGACGTGACGTGAAACTGGATGTGCATCCTGTGTGTGTGTGGATTTATCCACCCAGCCTCTCAACTGTTACATTAATAATGGCGGTGTGTGAGGGCATCACGTGGTCACGAGGCGTTTATGGCTGGTATCGATCGGGTGCTATCGCTGTTTATCGGAGCGGGAATGCAAGGGTAAACACGGCCTTTGTGCAGACAGCTGAGGCGTTATCGGGGTGGAGGGTGAAGACGGGGCGGGATTTGGGGAAGGGGAAAGAGATAGGAAAGGAGAGGACAGAATGAGGAAGAGAAAAGGAGCTGTGAGGACGACGATTCAAAACGTGCAGTCGTGGGGAAGCTTCATTAAAGCTTTGTGCTCTTCCAGTTAATTCACACTGGGAGAAGTTGAACTAAAGCAAAAGCAGAACTTGGGAGGATTTTGTGTTTGTTAACCAAAGCTGATCAGAAAATGTCTTTGAAATAAAAAGAGAGACTCATTCATGGTACACTGACCTTTTTCTCCCCCGTCCCTGCTTATGGTTTGTAAATTCATGCACACGCAGAATCAAATACATTTTTAAAATTGTAAAGTGTTCAAAATACTCTAAGTTTATTTCAGCATTAAAAATAGAAGTAAGAGCCACTTGGTGAGGTGTGTTCCAGTACCCACTTGTTCACAAGTCATACAGAAACCAGACCAGTAAGAAAAAACCCAGAGTGGGGGGTTTGCCACAAGCAGGATTACTCAGTGGGCTCGGTCACTTTGGAACTATTATCAAACCAATTTCCCTGAACATGCGTTAATAAATGTAAATAATCTACACTTATGACTAATCGATGCATAATCTCTTCGTGAGAATATTTTAGTTTTACAAATTCAGAATCATTCGTTTCTTTCATGTTCTAGAAAGACTGGCCAGCTTCAATCACTTTGCATATCATCGTGAATGAGCGGGGCTCTCTCCTTCATATCATATGTCACAAAAAAGCGAACAGGTGCTTTGCAATGAATTTAAACTGAACTGAATATTGAGATGTTTGCGATCTGGTTCCATGCAGTCAGCTTTTGAGTCACTCTAACCCTTGGCCTGATGATGGTGTAAGAGCAGAGAGCAAGAAGAGAAAGATCTTCAGGTCAGATAGTCTGAAGAGCTGTGATGTAACTATTAATCTAATCTAACTAATCATGAGTCCCGTTAAGAAGAAGGGACAGAGCGGCCCGATGAACTGCCCGATACTGGCTGCACAGGCAAAGTTCAGGGTTCACATATCTCTGGATAAACACACACACATGCAGATACTCATATTGAAGCATGCACACACACACACCACCTGCAGAAGCGCACATCTTTGATCAGTGAGCAGGAGGCTGTGTAATCAGCTTGATCAATGGCAGGGATATCAGCAGTGATTACAGGAACACAGCCAGCCTCAGTCTCTGCTGAGGGTGACAGGCCTGCGGGAGGAGATGGAAAGATAGAGGAGGAAAAGAGGAGTACATAAGACGGAGACCCACCTACATTCAGTGAAAGAGAAGTGGAGGGAAGGGTGGATGAGGAGGAAATGGAAAGCTGCTGGGAGAAGATTTGGGAGAGCGAGAAAAGTAGCAGCGATGAAGGTGAAGATGTTGAGTCTTTGATTCTCCTGAGTTGTAATGAAAATCAAAGGGTCCATCTCTGCATGGCGAGGGGTTGTGTTACACGGCGAGGGAGGCCTTTGATCAGCAGACGGGAACGACGGCTTCCAGACACACACTCACATACGTACACACACACAGGTTTCAGTCAGGGTGTTTGTTTTAATCGCTAGTTTTTCTGTTGTGTATCTAGAGCCCAGAACGCAGGACTCGGGAGGAGGCCCGGATGATAAAGACGTGGAAGGGGAGGAGCCTGCATCGACGCACAGCGGAGCAGAGGAGGAAGAGGAAAGGGAGGAAGAGCAGGAGGTTTTACATTGGAGGGGTCCAGGTCAGTACACATGCAAGATTTCCATCACTGAGTTGCAACAGAGCTGTGAACTCTTGGTCTGACGAGTCCCGTTGTTTTTCTTCAGTTAGATAAACATCGCGGGAGGTTTCAACAAATCATATCGCTCAAAAAAAATCTTATTTGCTTCAGAAATGACAGTAACTGCTCGTGCAAAAAGGCTGTCGGGAACGGGCTTTTCACAGTTATTCTTCGCTTTCAAATTCAGTCACGCTAATGTGCAATAAATTAAATGAGCCTTTTTCACAGAAAGCGTTTTGATATGTAACAGGATTCGGTGGTGCACAGCAATGGCTGCTGTTTCCTACGATGACAGTAACATTATGAATCATTAATTCAATTTGGAGGAAAACCCACCTGACACCAGAGACCGGCCAGTGCTAACAAAGCTTTATAGGGAGAAAAATAAACCAGTATAATCAACATATTCCTCAGAGCTCAGCTGGTAATCAGCTGGCCTGTTATCGCAGTAATGTTAGCTGATTCCCCCAACTGTCTTTTACATATTAAACACAATAAAGAAGGTTAGCATATGTGTGAGTCCATTTTACTCACACTAGTTTCTGTCATTCTGTCTGTCACGAGTGTGTGTGTGTGTTAATATACAGCAAAACTTTCCCAATGAGTAGTAAGTTATCTGAAACCACAGTTGGACAGATGTGACCCCGAACATCTGTAATCCTGCTGAGTTACAGCTGACTAACACGGACCTTAAAGACGTTTCAGAAACAGGAACAATTCTTTGTTTCAAAATAACACATAGAAAGATCAGAACAGGCCAACAGTGACCGGAGGTGTCAGTCTCACACCTACAGATACTGTAAATGTGTGTCTGTAGTTGGTTCAAAATTAGTCTGGGGTGCTTTTTATTCCATCGATTGACAGTGACATCACGTCTGCAACACTAAAGTGAGGAAATCCGAAGTTGTTGTGGACTTTTTTGAAAAGCTGCAACACCACAAGCGTCCCCGCTAACTCACTTCTGGAAGCTGTATGTTTGTCAGTGCTTGTAAGGTTAGACAGATGAAGTGATCGTCACTGCTCTTGAATTTATTTTATGGTCATTTACGATGGCACTGGTTCATAGTCAGTCAGAAACAGTTTCATAGAGATCAAAATGAATGTAATTCGATGGCTTTCTAATAGGGCAGGGCACATAGAGGTGTGGTCGTTTTTGCCTGTTGGTAGGTGGACAACATGATGATGTCATAATATCTGTACCTGTGAGCCCAGTTTGGCTGCTCCTGATCGTGCAGGAGGAGTTTGTGGGCAGATATTATAGTAAGATATTACAGCGTGGTGCAAAAACACTCTGGTTTGGTCTTTATGGACATTTCCTCCTTAATACCAGCTGTGCAGTCGGTGAATTCTTTTCTTACTCACCAGCTTGGATTTTAATAAAGATTAAAGTTGGCTTTAAAAGCACGGCTGCTTTGATTGGCCAGTCCCAGTGACCTCCAACGTCATACTGAGAAACTCCAACCAACTAACCATCATTTGAGCTCTTCACGTGTTCATGAGTGGATCGGCCAAACTCTGTATGCGTTCAGACGTTCTTTAGTCACTTGTCGCAAGGCTCTTTCAGGGTCCATTGTGTTGTTCTGCAGGGGAGATGTGGATGTGACAGGCTGGGGGAAAATTTATTCAAGTCGTAGCAAAAACACACACACACGGCTAAGAGAAGATAACAAGTAAATCGCCATAATTTTATTATTTATTTCCCCTCTTATCGAGGTTTGTTTGGTTATTTATTTCTCTCTGTCCGTTGTCTTCAATGAGTTAAACAATGCAAGAAGATTACCACACTATCTCGCATTATTTCCTTTTCAAGCTGCACACGTTTTATGTACGTTTGTGCATGTAGTGCCGAGTGTGTGTTTACGGGTGTGTTTGTGTGTGCGTTTTAATTCCTCTGCTGGGGAAGAGAGGATGTGTTCATTATCGTCCTGTCCCAGCCTTGTCCCTTTAACAGTAATTGGAGCGATATTAATTGCAGCGTGGTGGCTGGTTGATGGTAGCACCATGATGCTGCACTGATACGGCCCTTCTTTCTTTCTTTCTTTCTTCTTTTTTTCTCTCTTCCTCTCCTCCTCACAAACTAACTGCCGGGTGAGTAAGACGGGGGAGGGAGGGGGTGAGGAGGAGGGGTTGGGTGAGAGAGTAAGGGAGAGAGATAGCCCCTCTATCAGCTCCGGAGCAGGCGCTGTCTTTATCAGGAGCACGATTGGCAAAAAGGAAACTTTGACCGGTCTGAATTTTTCTCTTATCGTCAAGCCCCCCTCCCCTCCCCCTTCCTCCTCCTCCTCCTCTCCACCTCCCCTTCCTCCCTCCCTCCATCCATCCACCTTCCCTTCCTATGGTCTCTCCATCACCACTAGTCCCTCCCTCCTCTCCATTCTCCACCTCCTGGGGAGCGTGCATCTCTCACTCTTTTCCCTCCATCTTTTCATTGTTTCTTCTTCTTCTTTGTCTTGCATGTCACGGCCGGACTGGAGTCGCTGTCAAGCACCGCTCCTGTTCGTATGAAACATTCGTCATGTATGGGACATGGGATGCTGAGAAGAGATGTGTGCATGGAAATCAACAGGGGTTTGGGCATTCCACTTGTTCCTCCCAGTTTTACCTTTTAGACATTCCTGGAACCGGAAGCTTTTAATCTGACACTTTAGCTGCTTTAGGCCGTTGGTCCGGTTGTGTCGCTGAGCATAAGATTATTTCTACATAAAATGGGTATTTATGAAATTTTAAATTGGCTCATGTCGTAATGCAAATAAAAAAATGAGTCACTTTTGCAAATATGAGGTATTTGGCACAGACCTGTGAAGTCGATCCTAAAGACGTTTGGTTTGCAGCGCTGTGATGATTCTTCAGCAGAGCTGTGAAGTCTTTAAACCTTCTCTCTGTGGATAAGAACACCTGTTAGCATTGAGTAACATGCTATCTTACACTTTACACTTTGGGAACTTACAAACTTGTAACCATTTTCTTACTTTTCTAAAAGTTCATCTAGAAACAATCAACAGCATCGATCAGTCGTTGGCATTCTGAAGGCAGAGCTAAGAAATGTATGATTGTTACTCAGAAATTTAGGCAGTTGCAAATGTTTTTATCACGCCTAATCTCCAAATCATTTGTGAGACTGGATTATCGACTGTTTTGTAAAACATATTGTGCCAAACACTCATTTTACACATCAAATCACATTACAGGACCTGGAAAGAGGGCTGTACCCTTTAAAACAGACACACACACACACACACACACACACACACACACACTTTGACATAATGCTTTTCCCTTACCCTAACCATTAAAAATGAATGCCTAATCCTAACCCTAATCCTAACCATAACCTAATTGTAACCCTGACACTAAAACCACATTTTGTGGGGACTGGGATTTTGCCCCCATAAGGGCTGTTGGTCCCCACAAGCATAGTAAACTTCCAATTTTTGGTCTCCACAAAGATATGTAAACACGCACACAGAAACTTTTCTGTTCTGTCATTTGTCCTTCCTGTCAGCTGACCTCTGACCCCTTCCAGTTTTTCTTTATGTCCTTTTTTGTCCCACAACATTGTGATCCTGCTCTTATCTCAGTTCAGAGTGGGCCTCGTCCTTATAGCTCCACCTATAGCGCCCTGCACATACACCGCAGAAATCCATAACAGTAAGTTATATATCAGTGCCAGTCTGTTACGTGTAAGCTCTATGCAGTCTTGTGTTTAATTTCATTGAATATTAATCTGCTAATTATATTTGGAAGCTAAAAAAAGATGAATTCTTCTTGTCTGAAATACAGTAATTCCTAGATATGAAATTTTTAATTTCCCTTTTCGCACACATTCTGTGAACTAAACCTTGGGATAATAATCTCTTAATTTATTCAAACATTTTATTCAAATCAGTCTTTGTTGCGGTCATTACTATTGTTCCCACAGACCGATATTAACATAAAAAACAGAGAAAACAACAACAGAAGATTTCCATTCATCCTCCGTGCCTGCTTAGAGATAATACAGTTCATTACTGGACACAATATTTTTCACTCCACATATTTGACACAGTCTTCTCGGTGTGTAATGACTTGTTTATATGTCAATCTGAATAAATTCCTTAGTCATAGATGATAGTCGAGCCGCTTCTTTTTGTGTTTCGCTCTTTTCATTTTTAGCTGTTTTTGCCAACAGCGGCTATCAAACCGTTGGCTTTGTGGCTTCTATTGATATGAAGAAAAAAAAATTAAAGAGATGATAACTGGGAATGGATTAGAGGCTTCAGCAATTTGCCATTTCTTTTCGTCTTAAAACAATCAAGATGATGTCTCTGTGTGTGTGTGTGTGTGTGTGTGTGTGTGTCCTCAACCATTTTGATGAGGGTGGTGGTGGCATGGTGTCTAGGAGAAGTCTAGGTGGGAGCTGCTTCCTATCAGGGATGGTATGATATGCTAAAGCCGCCTTTTTAATCTACAGTGTGTCCAAACTGCATGATATGCAAAATAAATTATGAAGAGAAGAAAAAACTATCATTTGAGTGACCTTGCAGGCTGGAGGGTTTGATATTTTCTCCCTCACTGCTTAAAATTCTTGATATGCAAATGGATGTCACAGTAATCCCTTGTCATTCGCTGGCTGGCTGGTGTTCCCCACATGCCATGCTGTATATAAACCCATTGTCACTGGGCAAGGGGAGCATATTGCAAAAGTTTGATGTGCTATATATCCGTGATGATGGACGAAATAAATGAACTTTAAATGTCTTTCCTGTCATAGAAACATCATGCCAGGATCCTCCGTGTACCCGCTGGTGCCCAATAAACCGAGTGACTGAGCTGAGTCTTCCTAATACAAAGTTAATTAACAAATCAATTATTGAGAGAAAACTCATTTCAGCTATTGTGAAAGTCAACTCATTGTTTTAGTTGAGTTTATTAAAAAAACACCTAACTGGCTAAATGGCAGAATAATAAATTAGAAAATACAT